GCCCCACGCCGGGGCCGGCCTGGCAAGAGGATAGCGGAGCCGGGTAGGGCCCCCGCAGCCATGAGCCCTCCACGTGTTGGGAATGGATCAGTGACTGTTCTCCCCGCCGTGCCCCCTCCTCGAAGCAGCTGATGCCCCTTCGTTAGAGATGCTCACGGGCGTGCAAGGAGGGGGAGGGTGAAAACCAGAGTCTTGGAGCAGAAAGTGTTTCACCCCAGGGTTGCCCAGACCAGAGACAGCAAGTCTCTCTCGGCTTTCCCTCTGAGGCACTGCTCTGCTTTAGATGTGCTCTCTATGGGCGCCCATCACTCTTGCTTTCATCCCGTTGGTGCTGCTGTCCATGAAAGGAGATATACAGCCTTTCCGGGCCCGGAGGGGACACGGCATGCCGGGGAGGGCCTGCCTTTATGGGCAGGAATAACCAGCTCTCAAACAGAGGTTTAGTTTGTGTTGGCTGAAATCTTTTTTTTTTTTTTTTTGCTGCTTGTCATGGTGACTGAAATAAAACCCTTGTTCGAGTTCAAAGGCCAGCAGCGTGAAGTGCAGAAAATTGCACCTTATTTCACTGGCGAGCGAGAGAAAAAAAGTTTGCTGTTCTCTTTTGTTTACTCTGGATCTGTTTCCATCACCCGCACGGAGATCAAAACGCAGCATAACCCCCAGCAGCATCCTCCTGGTGTGGGTCCTGGTTTCACCCCCTGGGATGGGGTGCTGGGGTCCCCTGGGATGGGGTGCTGGGACCCCCCTGGGATGGGGGTGTCTCTCTGTAGCCCTGGCAGCAGTGACCAGCCGCTCCACGGTGTTGAAAGCGAGCTGTCTGCCTTTCTCCTGCAGTTCTCATGCCGTTGTTGGATCACTGCAGCGTGCAGCCCGATGCCAGGGTCGCGTCCCATTCCTTTTTTGGGCTGAATGCTCAGATAAGGTAAGCTCTGGAGATGTTCTCAGTAAAGAGAAGGAATCGATTTAGCTGGTAGTGGGGTTTTTGCTTACTCAGGCAGCTAATGGAGTTACAGAGCTGCGGAGGAGAGGATTTGCTCTTCCTGAGAGGGCTGTTAGACGCTTTGGTAATGGGTTCCCATAGTGGCCAGCAGATTAACGCTGACAGAGCTGCCTCACCTTGGTGCTGATGGGTCGCAAGTTCACAGCGGAGCTTGTCGGTACGTGCGGTAGGAGAAGAGCATGTGCATGCTCTCGGGGCAGGCTGTCTCCTACCAGTCTGGATTCCCCTGTCAGCGTCGTCCTAAACACGTGAACGGTCTCCCCCTCGGGTCAAGGCAGCGTTGACTTTCATCTCGTGGCTGTGCTTATCCCAAAAATAGACGGAGGCAGACAAGCTGGTGAAGGTAGATGGAAATCGCAAAGCAGGGAGCCTGCGATTCCTCTCTTGGTGTTCTCACGCCGAAGCACAGCACGGAGACGACCCCTGGCCAGCCGGCACGGGGAAGGAGGAGAGTGCCCTGAATAACAACTGTCTCCCGTAGCCAGCCTCCCGCCTTGAACCAGCTGACGTCCCTCTACGTGGGAAGGACTCACTCCCTCTGGAAGGACCCAGCCGTCATGGCGTGGCTGGAGACCAACGTCCACGCGGTGCTGCGCATGGTGGATGCCCGGGACCCGCTGGTGGAGGAGTCTGAGCTCAAGTGAGTGCGGCTGGCGGAGGTGAGCGGCTCTCGTATCAGGCACGGGTGCTGAAAACGGCGACAGAGCGGGGCTTTTCAGATGAGGGGAGCCCCATCCCGGGCAGCAGCAGTGCAGGGGCTTGCTCAGAGCCCCCCAGGTGCCGATGATGCGGTGGCGGCTGGCGATGCTGGGGGTTACACCGTGGGGCCAGGAAGGTGGAGGCTCTTCTGCCATACTTTGCACAGCGTGAATGAAGAGCTGTAGCTTGTGCTTGCTGGGGAGCGTGAGCTGTGCTGGCTTTCCCCCAACCTCGGCTATCACATGGGCCCTGGAAATTGCCCGGGAGGGGCAGGGATGTCTCGGCTCGCAGGCACAGCACAGCTGGGTGCTCTGGGAACACCTTCCAGCCCTGAGAAGCAGGAGGGAGGCATTAGCTCTTGTCCCAAACCAAAGGTAGTTTGCTCTGCAGCAGAACGGGGCCGGTGAGAGAGATCTGTGCCATGTCCCTGACCTGTTCTGCTCTTTTTCCGACGTCAGCAGCTGCCAGGTGACTCTGGCTTTGCCGTAGGCCAGCTCTGTCCGATACGGCGCATCCCCGCGGGGCCAGGGCTGATGATGCGCCTGGAGAGGCAGAAGTGGCAAGCTGGCTACGCTGAGGTGTGCTCCCTGCGATCCTCTCTTCCCTTCCCCGCTGCAGGAGGAAGATGCGGTACCAGAGTGCACCCAGGAATATCTACCGGCACGTCATCCTCTCGGAGATGAAGGAGGCCATGGCAGCTCTGCCGTTGGTGAGGGGCCCTGACCAGGCACAGGCGTGCAGCGTGATGGCGCTCACGTCCCTGCTGTGTGTGCGGACGCTGGGCACGTCTTAAACCCCAGCCACCAGCAAGAAACATCGCCCTGATCCCCTTGTGTATTCCTGGGGGCTGGGGGAGTGTGTGGGCAGGCTGGGCTGCAGCTGGTGTCCAGCTCTGTTGTGCTGCCCGGGATGAAGGGCTGTCCAGCTGCTCTGACCGTCTCTGTGACTCGGCATCGGCTGGCGACACAGCCTTCACCCCTTCTTCCTTCTCCCGCCCGCAGGAAGTGACTTCACAACCTGTGATGGGGTTCGACCCTTTGCCTCCACTGGACTCCATCATTTCCTACACCAGGCCGGAAAGGTATCTTCTCCACCCCTGTTTCTGCACCGGCGTGTTCCCGGTGTTCACGCCCTCAGCCCCTGGCCTGGCTGCACGCGGGCGCTGGCGGCTGACGTCCTCCTCCGCCT